ACATGTACTGAAACACATGGTGAACTTTTTATGCTTGGACACGCCAAGAAGAATTTTCTAAGCATTCCTTTTCACACTGTGTCCAGGATTCACCTACGTACATGTACAGTATGCTGCTCATGGAATTGAAACCAACAGTGGTCAGATCCAGGAATGATTTGACAATGTTGACTGCATTTAATGATGCAAAAGATGTCTGCACTCAAGACCAGTAACAAAAAAATCCCTCAGTGTAACTTTTTTGAAAAAAAAAAACCTGGTCACACTGAATCCTACATCTATGAAGGCGTACATGTATACATGTATATGTAGGCTCAAGGCTATCTGTAAGCACTGGATCTTCGACTTTACATTCCTTTAAAAAAATCCTCCAAGGTATTAATCTACCAAAAAAAACTGAAAAATATCTGTGGAAAGTAAATATACATGAACAGTTTGATTGGAAAATAAAGAAAAGAAATAATAAAAAAATTGGAAAAAAATTTTTGAACGTTGGTGTTGATACTTGGCAAGCATTGTGCACGTCAATGAGGCACTGTACCAAAACACAAGATACCTATACATCTAAAATCATTTGCAATGCCCACTGTGCAATGCTGCAGAATCCGGAAATCACGTGATTTGGGCAATTCACAATATAGTGCGCCACCAAGAGGTTGCTAGGGAGTAGCCAGTTTTCAAGCGAAAGCATGGCCCCCTCGCTGCAAATTGCATTTGAGCGTATGTCAGTAGACAACTGGGGGGAAATGTTTTGAGAGGTTGGGATACTCCTGGCAAGATATGAAAGGATTGAAATGACTAACACAAACTGATACCTGAACTGTTCTTACCACCTTCTTCCCCGACAAACAAACATCGGGAATAATTCAACGTGCCTGTGCATGCACGCAGCCAGCAAATAGAATTTGTCAACCACTTCCCACAATGCACTGCTAAAAGTGCCTTTCCCTGGCAACCTCCTGGTAGCACACTGTATTGAGAATCGCTCGGAAAAAGCTAGTTCGGTACTTCAAAAAACCAAGGGTCTTTCAATAAAACACACGAATCAGTTAAAGGATAGACTATCGAGTGTGTGTGTGTGTAGACATTCCCGAATAGCGTCATACTGAACATGAGCTTTTGGAATACAGAACTAGCGCATTTGGGCAACTGTGCATTTGGCCGCAATAACTACAGGCACCACGACTACATGTAGGTGCCACTACAAATTTTTCATTCTCACCCTTGGCAGGCCTGTGGAGAGTTGCTTGTGTAGCAGGTCGCGCTCTCGTTCCAGCTCGCCGATGCGCAGGTCGGCGCCGCCCAGCGCTTCCTGTGTCTCCCGCAGCGACTCCATGAGCCGGTCCCGTTCGTCCAGCATGTTGACCATTAGCTGCTCAAAGTTGGCATCGTCCCCGTAGCTGGAGCCACGCTGGCTCCCATCCTCGGAGATTGTGGGCATTACGTCGCACATCATGTCTTAGAATCCGAGGGCGTTATGGGCAGCGTCGTCGTCTTCTTGTCGTGGTGACGGTCGTGGTGGTGTGGGCTGGGTCTCTATTTTTAATTCCAAAGTGTGACTGAGGGTGAAATCCAAGTTGAACAGCCAAATCCACCAATGGCATTTTTTCTACAAGTTAGGCCTTGTACAATCTAGCCTACATGTCATTACACGTAGTGCACTGTTATGAACTGTTTAACATGTTGAATAAATGTTGAATACACGATTGGTCATGTTGGTTTCCTCCGACACTTGTAACCAAACCTTCATTTTTTTTTCAAATACCATCACACGAACATTCACAAAATGCTTCCTGGTGCAGTTTTCAGGTTATTGGACCGTTCAACATCCTATTCAAATCATGTGTCAAATCCAAATCGAGACTCTGTCCAACAAACTCTTTTCTTAGTGTTCTTGGCAGCTGGTATTTCTTTTTCCATTAAACACCGGCGTGGTTTAACATGCCTACTTTTCCGCTTCCAATCTGTAACTCCACTTTTGACAATTCAGAAAGAGATGGCGACATTCGATGAAAAACTATACAATTGCAAACAACGAAGCGAATGTGTGAGATCACTCAATTCATAAGCTTCAACGCTTGAACAGCACCTAGGCCTACCGCACATGTACATTCACACCGCGGGTCAACAGAAAAAAATTACTGTCAAAATTATATCCGATATTATTCCCTTCTCTTTGCTCCTCAGCACAAAAAATACAGTCAACAGGATTCCCGGAAAGCTCATTTACCTGATTCCGTCACCTGGACTCCATGTTGGTATGAGAAAAGCGCAGAAAATCTTCCCCAATTTTATATTCCCTTTCCCATAACCTCCCGATCATGCAGCACACGCAAATTACTACATTGGCCAGCCATCATGGTGCCGTAGCTGGTCCCCCGGATACCAATCACGTTACGAGAATACTTCGAGTAGGTCGGGAACCACCGCAAAGTCATCGGTATTAGACTCGATACCAGCCTCCTTTGTTCCCCAAAAATCAAAAAGAAGATTAAATAAATGAACCAAGTTTTTCTTTCCAGCGTGGGTGAATTTCAGTTACAAGAAGTATTCTTTGCCCACTAATGATGCATTTTAATCATGTTTTCCTTCGGAAATTAAAGCAACTTGGAATTGATGCTTCCTAGGGGATTTCAGAAACAGATGACCAGACAATGCCCCGCCCCCGCTTTCCGCCCCTGGGTTCTAATTCGTGGAAAGGAGTCATAATGCCATGGATAATACAAAGTTTTCAGAATAATATTTAGGTCAATTTGTAAGTTTCGCGTCACTTCATAAGGTCTGTTGTGCGACAACCTTAACTGGGGTTTAGTTTTCTTTTGTAGCGGTTGCAAAGTGATATGGATGAAAAGTTTCCGAACTCAATTGTCCTTGAAATGTTTTTGAACAAAGCGTAGGCCTAACGAACAAAGTTTACTGACCGATGGATGAGATTTTTTGTAACCTTTTTTTCTCCCTCGAGAGGCTGGGACGTTGAAATATAACATCGGCAATTTAATACCTTGTTTTTCTTTCAAATTTCTAGTCATATCCGATTGCAAATATTTTAATATTATTAAATATTAAATTATTAAATATATTTAAATGAAATTCCAATAATATCATCCTCACGCTTTTCCAGATCCCCTTGTGTGTGTATGATTGTGGGTTTCCTTATTATGGGGGTACGGTACTTGGTCTTTTAAGGAATATAAGGGCGGGTGGGTGAAGCAATTTACTTTATAAACCCCCCCCTACATTAATAACAAGCTTTTTGTCAGCTTGTGTCAAAAATGCTGTATTTCTGACCAACAGTTGACTCAAAGTAAGCCAGCTGTATATTTTTTACACAATACTTGCTTCCCGTATGGCCCTTGATGATTATTTCCCTTAAAAATATTTTTAAAAAGACACCAAACTGGCAAAGTGTTAAAATTGTACAACATCCAACAGCAGCAGAACCTGGGGCAGGGGCCAAGGGGAGTAATGTTACTTTCCCAACCTCATTCCTACAAGGGCTCGGCCCCTACAGGGTACGTCACAAGATCATGAAAGTAATACTTAAGCCCTTGGTATCTTGGTTAAAATTACCAAACGGTTTTCAGATGTACTACTAGTGTCTTGCAACTTGCGCAATTGCCATTTACTTTTCTCCTCGTTTCGTCACCAGTTAATATCAGAAGTAGATCAAAAACTCCATTAATCCTCCTTGATACGACGTGAATCTGGTCACAGTCGTGAAAAAAAAAGGACGGAACCGGACGGAAGAAAAGGGAAACAGAGATAAAGGGGATGAACATCAATAACTCGCTTGAAAAAAAAACTTAAAATCGACCCTCTCCCACTCTTTATGTTTGATCAGTTGGATGCTGATGAGTTCCCCTGCCGCAAAAAAAAATCACGGCGATGTCCATGGTTACGACACAGACCAAGCTACGTTCTGAAAAGCTGTCTGTATACAGCCTGAGCAGAAGCACCCCCTCGTCGATTGAAAAGAGCCATTCGGGTCGGAAGTGTTCATTTTGTTGGTAGCAATGCGTCAGCAACACGGCTTCAGTTTCATAATTCGTGAACCAGCACTACCGAGGAGCCTCCGTTGCTGGGAAAATTGCACCACCTCTTGGTCCAGCTTGGAGCCATGCTTTGGCCTCACGAGCCCTACATAGTAAAAGTGTCCATGGGGCCCTAACTTTAAATTTCGAGCATCATATTTTATCCTTTTTAATGACAATCAGAACCCGGATTTACAACTAGTTAACCCCTGCATTTATATTCGTGTTCATGCCCTCCGTTACATGAATAAATTAAGGAATGAGAAACAAGTGAAGAGTTTCAATGCAAAATATATCCATTTTATTTATTTTGAGATAATGCACGATTAGTCTCCTATCATGAAGAAAAATAAGGAAATGTAGGCCCCCTACATTCTATGATATCTCCAAAAATACACATAGCAGATATTTTCTGTACAATATTGGTAATCCTAACTCATATTTTTCAAAAATGGTGGACCTAGCGTTTTGCGACGAAACTCTTCAATCTATTGGTGATCTTTTGAGTTTCTTCCTTGAAAATATCACACTGACTTAAGCCGTGATTTTTTTCGGTCACGGGTATCATGGATCTGGATCTGGATAGATAATTGAACAGCTCCAACTGGAACCGTGATCACTCAATTCTGGTTAGAGAGGCATCTAATCAAACAGCTTTTCTGTCTGTCTTCAGAAAGTAGATGAATTTTGAACAGGTGTGATGTTATAATATGTAACCAAAATCTTTTCCCAGCTGTGAGTTGCACACTACAATTAATTCAAATTAACACCATATCCAGCCGGCCAATTCCCCCACCCCCATTTTCAGATCTTTTTCATTATTATTTTAAAATTAATTTTAAGACATAAAAGCCCCAGTCAATGCATGAGCTTATGTCACCGATAGAGCGCCCTCTATCACGCAGTGATTAGTCAGATACCCAAGTGGGTATTTTTTAAAGGATCCACTATTAGGTTGTACGTCTGGGCAATGTACAGTGGATAGGTGTGAACTGAATTACGGTACAGAGATAAAGTGTGTCATAAACTTCTTAAAAATGACCGAAGTAGTGGATTACGACAGCTTAAATGTACTTCTGAAGGTGAGCTTTGGGAAATAACCCTTTGTTGGATGTATTTCTAAGTTTGATTCCATCGACGTATAACAGAGTAATTGAAACTGCGGAAAGAATTAGGGCCCAGGCCTAGCATGGTTGGCGCGGCCGACATCACCCGTCACCTGACCGTCGACCGCCACCATGACCGCACGCGTACCGCGTATCATGGGTGATTTTGCTCAGTGGTCTGATGGTAGAAAGGCAGTTGGGGAAGAAAAGGGGGGAAATGTTTGCTCCTTTTTCCTTCCCACAATTGTCCAAAATCACTCATGCTAGATTAGCAATGAGGCTTACCAGCTTATCATACTCATTCATAGTCGCCTAGGCTCTAGGGAGACTCATAAATTTTTCAACTAGCCCTAGGCCTATTCAGTGTCAGGTCAACTCGCCCCCTGACCAACTCACCCCTTACCAACTCGCCCCCTGGCCAACTCGCTCCCTGACCGACTCGCCCCCTGGGAATGTCAAACAAGTATGGCCGGCCCAATGTGTAAAAAAAAACTGAATGGTTCTAACCAACGATGCGACAAGAACGACTCACGGACGGTGATGGATATTTGGACATCACCACTAATCACTTATTTATTCAAACGTCTTAGCGCTTCCCACGTCGACTGTCTGATTAGGTTTTTTGTACATCAGACATAACCTCAGGTTCAGCAACTTCAACCCTCTGTCCCATTAATATTTGGGTATGTGACTGAGGTCCGCAGAAGCGATGCAGATGGCCCATACACACGATAATACTGAATTAGTTTTACCAATATCTAAAAAATAATGTTTACCCCAATTCCACAGAAAGTAAACATCCAGCAAACTTTAAACAGTATAACTTTCATAATTTTCAACTTTGAGTGCCCGCTGCAAACCCCAGAACCTAAATTTACGGGCAGCAATCACCGATTCCATCTCCGTTCTTTTTTATTAAATGGTGAATGGGCCGGCCATACGTGCTTGGCAAACTTAGGGGGGCGAGTTGGCCAGGGGGGGCGAGTTGGCAAGGAGCGAGTCGGCCAGGGGGCGAATCGGTCAGGGGGTGAGTTGGTAAGGGGCGAGTTGGCCAGGGGGAGAGTGGGTCAGGG